CTGTATTGAAATTTAAATTAGGGAGGGTCGGGGATTTTTAGCTTAGTGGTTTTGCCACCTACTACACAGGCTCAAGGAACTGAGTTCAATCCCCCATACCAAAAAAATAAAAAATAAAAAAAAAAAATAAATTAGGGAGAAGTTTGGCTTATGTGGAGTCCGCTAACTAACTGGAGGGGTTTTTTCCAGACCACTATTTGTTCAATGTTGGTTTTAGGGATCTTTCTGAAACAAATCACATCCTCTGGTGTCTTGTTGGTACTTGAGATGTTTTTTTAAGTTATATGGAAAAATGTTTTAGTGCTTTTCAGTTTTGTTCTGTATGAGTTCGACTGTATTGGAATATTATTGTAGTTTTTTTCCCCTTGCATTGTTCTTCTTTGAATGGTTTTAATTTCTGTATGTGTATGTGTTTGATAATAGTTACTTTTAAATAATAAAAAAAAAGAATAGTGGGACTAAAGAAGAATCTATTTTAAAGATTAATTAAATAGTCCTTAAGAGAATGGAAGAAACAGGGATTCAAGGGAAGGCATAGAAGGTAGATTTCATTAATTATACTTTGATTTTTGTATAACTGAGTTGGAACCGCACATACCTATAAAACAAAATTATATCAAAAGAAAAAAACTTCTAGAAATCAAAAGGAAAATGAAGCAAAGGAACCTAACCCTATCTTATTCACAAGATGGCAATTCTTTCATGTGACTTTAAAATGCATTAACGTGCATATCCCTAATGGTTACCCTAAGGACAAAAAGATCCAAAGGAAGATTTTTGAATGGCTTGTCATAATTTTAAGTAATATCTGTCTACTTTGATAATATATTCCTATTTTTGAAACTATAGGGAAACAGTAAAGGACAGAAAAGAGCCTAAACTCATGCAGGTAATAAAGGACAAAAAGATCCACCCTCACAAAAATCTGGAAGCCAGAAAATTGATTTGACTAGCTGATTCAAGAACAGAATCCTTAGTCAAGAAGTAAACCAATTTACATTGTAGAACTCCACATAAAGCTTTACTTAGCAGTACCAGATACCTTTCAAAGCGGCTTTAAAAGCAGAACTAAAAACAGGATTATATGAAAATCTTTTTAGAAGCAGTTAGAATATAGAAACAATAGTGTACTCAGTCATGTGGGGAGGGATTGTGAGAGGATGTATAGTATATATCAATTTGTTTTATTACAGTAACAATTTTACTACACACACTTACAACATCATGTTGTATGCCTTAAATATATACTGTAAAATTTTATTCTTAAAAATATAGAATTTTTGGGCCAGGGATTTAGTGCAGTGCTTCCCCCCCCCACCCCCAGCCTGTCTCACAAGGGCAAGGTCCTGAGTTTGATCCCCGGTACCCACCTCCCTCCAAAAAAGAATTTTTTTAAAAGCAGAATTTTATACTCTTTCTCTTAACTCTGTGCAGACAGGCAATGCCCATCTTCTACTACAGTCAAAGATGAATGTTTACATTTGAGAAAGAGTCAAACTGGATCGCTGGACTGTAGAATACCAGGAAGAATTACAGGTTGGTAAAGGAAAGTTATTAATTGACTTTACAATGACTGAGACCTTCAAATATCTTACTCCATCTGGTACCCCTAACTAGTATGAGATTCTCTTCTTTAAGGGACCTGACTAGTGCTCCAAAAAGGAAATAGTCCAAGCAAATGCCTCAGCATTATCACCCAGTATAAACATCGTCAATAAAACACACTTTCATACAGAGCTTTCAAAGAATTTTGGAATTCTCCATTCTTAATTGAGTATACAACAAAGCAGAATATTGCACCCTGAAATAACAATCTCAGGAGGAAAAAGAACTTCTGAAAATTACAAGCATGACAGCACAAATTAAACCCCAATAGGAAAGTATTAAATAAAAATTACAGGAAGCCATTGTTTTGGACTAAGTTCAGCACTAGGCCCCAACCAAGAGACCAGACTAAAAATCGAAATAGCATCTCACACTAAAATCCCACATCACCAACCTGAAAGTAAGCTATTCATCTGACCTCTTAAGAAATCAAGATTAGAGAGATACCAGCCAACTCTCCTAAACAGCCTAGTTTCAACTAACATGATAATGTAGTCCCCTCTGTCTTAATCCTTACACAAAAAAGTAACCTAAAATGAGCTGATGTTAACTAATCAGTTATTTTTCCACTGGTGTCTTTCCTGACAAAGCCTTACAAGGAAAGTAATTCTAAAATAGACAATTAGAGTTTGCCTTTTGTTTCTGCTTTCTCATACCTTTTCTGTCTATAAAACCAACCTCCAATGCTCAGTTCATGGGAAAATTTACTCTTTTTTGGAACAATGTGTTGCCTGATCCTATAAAGGGAAATAAGGCCAATTAAGATTTTTAAACTAGGGCCAGGGATTTAGCTCAGTGGTTCCACCACCTGTCTTGCAAGCGCAAGGTCCCAAGTTCGACCCCTGGTACCAAAAAAAAAAAAAAGATTTTTAAACTAAACTTTTTCTAATTTCGTCCTTTGACAAGGGTTAAAAGAAAACATTAAGAAAATAGCCCTAAATGCCAAGCAATAAGACAAAAAGATGGAAAATGAAGAAAGATAGCATCAGGAGGATACTCAGGAATTTATGTTTTACTTTTAAACTGTAGAGCTAGGCTAGGTGAGATGGCCCAAACCTGTGATCCCAGCACTTGGGAGACTGAGGCAAGAGGATTGCCACAAGTTCAAGGCCAACTTGGGTGACGTAGTGAGTTCAAGGCCAGCCTGGACTATATAGTGAGACCCTGACTCAAAAATTTAAAAAAAAAAAAAAATCCCAAAAACCAACTGTACAGATGTTTTAAATATCTAACATGTAATGATACGTTTCACAATAAAGAAGTTTTAATAATTAGGGAAAAAAAGATCTGGCAGGGTGTGATAATGCACACCTATAATCCCAGCTATTGGGAGGATGAGGCAGGAAGATCACAAGTGCGAGAACAGCCTGGACTTAGTGAAGTCTAGTCTCAAATTAAAACAAAAAAAACAAAAAAAAAAAAAAAAGGAGGAAAAGGATGCAATCAACATCAAGATGAGGAATGAGAACTGATTCCTGACAATGACCATGATAGAAACAATTCTGAAAAGTTTATATTAGGACAACAAACAAAAAACAAATATTACAGTTTAAATTTAAAATGAGCCCCCAAAATCTCATGTGTTTGAAAGGCGGTTGGATCATATAGGTACCTTCACTTGGGAAGATGGGGTCCCTGAGGGAAGAGCTCCCTAGGAAATTGGTTCTCTAGGATTCAGTTCACTGTGTTCAACCATCCAGAAACTCAAGGGGCCTCTACAACCGTGATCCAACTGCTCAAACTGGTAGCAGGCCCTGGTGTCATCTATGTGGTGCTGGTTTTACAGGAATGTAAAACACAAGAGGGAGATTTCCACCCAGATTTCAGAAGGCCTGGCATGCCAGGCAGTGTACCCATGAGAAAGCAGTGTGTGAAACTGTAAGAGTAAAGCCAAAGGTGTAGTGGAAACCCCAGGAAGTTACAGATACCAGAAACAGACATCTACTGAGGAAAGCTGCAGGCATTGAGTGAAGTCAGCACAAGAGACAGACCATACAGAGATCACATTACCACAACCTGCCCTGAGTGCTGGACATGAAGTTACAAAATATAAAGTTTGCCCTACAGGGTTTCAGTCTTGTTTGATCCAATTTCTTTCTAACCACCCCAACATTCTTCCCTGTTGCAATGGGAATTTTTACTTTGGGCCACTGTATGTTGAAAATATTTAACTTTTTTTATTTTTACATGGCTCCAGAGCTAAAAGTTTATCTTCAACCTCAGAAGAGACTGGAATTGGATTTTTCAACAATGCTGGAACTATTATAACTCTGGCAACTCTGAAGAGATGAACTAAATGTATTTTGCATAATGAGATGGTGATGAGCCTTTTGGGGTGAGGGGGATGTTATGGTTTAGATTTAAAACGTCCCTGAACAGTCTCATGAGTTTGAAAGACTGGACCACGGCAGAGCTATACTCCTCAGTGGATTCATCCATTGATGAGTTCAGCAGTTAAATGTGCTCTTAGGAACTTTGGCCTAGTGGAAGACAGGTCTCTGAGGGGCTTGACCTAGAAAGGTGTATGTATTCTTGTGCCCACCCCACCCCCTCTTTCTGCTTCCTGGCTGCCATAGGAAGAACAGTTGTCTTCCACCAAGCCCTTTCCACATGCAGTTTCTACCTTGGGCCCAGCCTATACTGGACTGAACCCAATGGAAAGTGACCCAAATAAACCTTTCCTTTAAGTTGCAGGTATTAGGTATTCTGTCCAAGCAACAGAAAATGACTAAAACAGTAAGTGACAAGAGTAAAACCAAAGATATGAACACTTTTAATGTACAAAAGCACAAATATTTATCAGAACACATTAAAGAAACCTAAAACACTAGAGCTACAAATATCTTGATGAGATGATTTAATATTATAAAGATCCTAATTGTCCCTAAGCAAGTCTACTGAGAATCAGTGCAATTCAAATCAAAATCCCAAAATGGTTTTTATATGATCTGTCAAGCTGAAATTAAACTATAGGGGAGAGTAAGGGATGGAAAGGACCAGGGTGATTGTGATTGTGAAGGTGATTGGCCAGGGTGATTGTGAAGAATACTACAATGCTCTCTGTGCCTCCTCCCCCTTCCTGATGACACATACATATTGAGATACAAATATAAAATTATAAAACAATATAAACAAATATACCAGTAGAATAAAATAAAATCTTAAAAGAAATCCAATCCTATATTTCAACCTGACATGACAAATCTGGCATTACATTAGTAGAGAAAAGACAGAACATTCAATGAAGCTGGGTTAATTGTCAGATCCCTATACTTTACTGTGTCTACAAAATGAATTCCAGGCAAAGCTAAATATGAAAAAAATAAAATCTTCACAAAGAAATATTTAAAAAATACCATTATAACACTGGAATAGCTACAAGTGCTACAACTTGATTATACCACTATATACATTTTTTTTGGTACCGGGGATTGAACTCAGGTCCTTGTGCTTGCGAGGCAGGTGCTGGAACCACTGAGCTAAATCCTTGGCCCTATACTAATATTTTATAGAGTTGAGTTGTATCTATCTTACTACCTTCTATCCACTTAGAAGAAATTGTAGCACATGTACACAAGGACATTTCAATACTTCTTATATAGTGAAAAGGCAGAAATAATCTAGTATAAATCAGTAGGAAACTAGGCAGATGGGCTTTGGTTATACTACAAAATTCAGTTATTAAAGTTATTATTAGACATAGACACATAACTAGATATGCATCCAGATACACAACAAAAAACAAGAAAAAGCAAAGTATAGAAGTAATCATTCTAGGGCTGGGGATTTAGCTCAGCGGTTTTGCCACCTGCTGTGCAAGCACAAGGACCTGAGTTTGATCCCTGGTACCAAAAAAAAAAGAAGCAATCATTCTACATACCATTTACTTACAACCGTGGAAAGACAAATATACTATATATTGTATATGGGTACAAGTACATGCTCAAGGAAAATATCCAGAGGAAGAATATACATCTGGGAAGAGTAGAAAAAGGAAAACAACATTGTATGTAGCTATAGTATTTGTTACCCTTAGAAAAGACATTTAAAACAAATATGGCAAAATGTTGACATATAAAAGCAACACAGCACAGAGGTGACTTAAGTGTGTGATCAAGTATTAAATTTTCTGTCTGAAATATTTCATGATTTTTAAATTTTTAATTTTTGTTAATAAAACCAACCACTGTACTGGATGATTTTTAAGTTAGATGATCTTAGTTCTCACAGCACTGATTATAAATTGTACATATGTTGTCCACGTTTTCCTTAAATTGTTCAGTCTGGGGATTATGGCCTCCTCAACATGCAAGTCACCCAGCAGAAGCATTTTATTAAATAAGTATCTGACAAACAACTAAACAGACCTCTTCATGTAAACTTCTGCACAAAGTACTTGACATTGCTCAATTACTAACATAACCAAATCTCCAGCTCCTCTGATTCTGTTCTTTCATGTCCATATCAGTTTCTTTTTTGTTAACAATTCTATCTAATATCTTCTGTACATTTTCTGGTCTTTTACTATTCCAAAGAACAACAACTATATTTAGCTAACCTGGGTCCTAATTCCTTTATAAAAATCTTTCCTAAATATTTTTGAAGTTCTTAAATTTTTTCCTGAATATATTTCCTAAAAAATACCTAGACTGTTTTTAAGACTCCTGACTTTTAGGTTTTTTGTTTTGTTTTGTTTTCCCTAAATGAGTTCTTCCTTTAATTCCTTTCCTTAAAGTAATTTCACTCATTCTGATGGCTTCTCTATTTCTTTCCGTTGGATACAAACAGAACTTGAGGTAATTTCTTACAAAGTTTTCATGTACCTTCACAATCCAAAATTACCTTTATATAGAAGATAACTGAGTAGATTTTAGAAAGGTAGGTATACGATTCCAATACAAACAAGTAAATAAAATACCCATTTGAAAAGGCACTCTACACAAGAAAGTGTGATAAGAAGGTTTAAAAAATGTTAATCTAGTAAATTAAGAAATATAATGTGTATAAGTAGAAAAGATTCTCACATGAATGATCTGACGAGATGTTATGTGGAACCAAAACAAAGTCATCCGTGTCACAAGAAGAGTTCTTGCTACTAGTACTGGCAGAATCTTTGGACACTTGCAGATAGTTGGGAGGACCCAATGGTGGGGAGGATAAGTTTTCTTCCTGAATATGCTGCATATCTGAAAGGGACTAAAATTAACAACATAAAATTAAAACTGACCTAATAATAAAATGTAATGCCTAGGGACTTTAATTACATCCTGCACAAAAAAAAGTTCTGAATCTACAAGAAAGAGGCCATTACAAAACAGGAAAGCAACAGATCATGTTATATAAAAGACTACAATAATCAATAAGGATAACTAGGGCTGGGGATTTAGTTCCGTGGTGCCACACCTGCCTGGCAAGCACAAGGGCCTGAGTTCGATTCCCCATACTGAGAAGGACACACACACACACACACACACACACACACAAAAGGGATAACTATGTTAGACTAGAAATTTATTTATACTCCAGAAAGATCTAGAAAATCTTATGGGCGTGTTTAAATTTTTTTGTTTTATTAGGGGGAGGAGGTGATTTTTTTGTGGAAGACAGGACAAGAATGGAAGCATATAAATAAAAGCATTTAAACAAAAACTTAGGCACAACTACCTATGTATTTTTAGGTATTTGGCTAGTTCATGGACTCTAGTGATAATTCAATGTTCTCATTAAAGAATGTTTTTCTAAAACAATGAACTTTTGTACCGGGGATCAAACTTGGGACCTTGTGCTTGCCAGGCAGGTGGCAGAACCACTGAGCTAAATCCCCGGCCCAAAAATTAACTCTTTTTTTGGTACCAGGGATCGAACTCGGGTCCTTGCGCTTGCACAGCATGCAGCGAAACCACTGAGCTAAATCCCCAGCCCCCAACAATTAACTTTTTAACTTCTTCTCTAAGTTCTTCATAATGTCTGTGACACTGGTTAATCTTTGCTTCTACTTCAAAATAGGAAAAACGCTACATCATGCTTTTTAAATCCACACCTTAAATACCCAATTCAGTCCTGTTGCTCCTCTGAATATCACTGTGCAATGAAATCAGTCTCAAAGTACCTTTGTATATGAGACACATATATATATATATATATATACATATATATATATACACATAAAATCTCCATATCACCTGAAGACGTTGTACATGAAGGGGAAGAGAAAAGAGAGGGACCAACATTACTAAGCATCAACCATAGGCCAGGCATTGTTCAGAGCTTTCCATGTGTCATCTAACTCCAGCTTTATTCTAAATTTCATTTCACATTTAAACAAACAAAAGCTCAGATGACTAGGTAATTTGTCCAAGTTCACATATCTAAAAGGTAAAGTGAAGTTGAGATATGATTCCAAGTATTTGACTCCACAATTTCTTCCCTACGATTTAGGCAGGAACTTTCTCAATTTCTCCTGCTATTGATAAAAGCATCTGTATCAACAACCACCCTGGGTCCTCTTTCCACATGTTCCTAAAAGACATGTTTCTCTTCTTCCACTCAAAACTAATCTCTCTACCTGGGCTCTGCATTCTATTTACCCCTACCTTCCCACCAACACGGAGCAGCTCCTGACATTTTCACTCTCTCCCCTTATTCTATTTTTTTCCCCATTCTTCACATAAACGTGCTTAATTTTTCCACATTTCAAATCTCTACTACTCTCTGATTCCACCACTTTTTTTTTTTTTGGCAGTACCCAAGTTATACCTCTGTCCTTTTCTTCACTTAACAATGTTTCTTGAAATTATCTAGCTTCACTGACTCAAATTCTTCACTTATATATTCTTTAATCCACCATAATTCATTTTCTGCCTTCAGCCCTCCAGTTAGTCACCAACAAGGTCTCACTGCTACTCTCCCAAGTTCAAACAAGCTTTAGGATCTGCAAATTCTTTACCTTTTTACCTGCACCCACCCCCACTTCTTTTCCTACTGCTTTCTTAGTTTAGGCTTGTTCTCAAAATGATGATGATGATGATAAGCAATGTAATAGTCTCAGGTTATTCTCATTTCTCTAGTAGAGAGAACTCTCTACTCTGTACCTCTCTCCAATCTAGTTTTCCACCCTAAAAATGCACTGTGGATCTTATCATTCCTACACTTAAAAATCATTTAAATGGTTCACCACCGCTTTAGGGATACTTTAAAGCACCTTCGCATATAACTCCTGTCAAGATGCAGCCTCTGTCTACCTTTCTGCTTTATTTTCCCCTCACCATATCACCAATGCCTCTACACCCAGACTGAACTACTGGGAAAACCCTTGTCCTTTGTGTAATGATGGGGAAACTCTGCATCTTAGCTGTCCAAAATGGCAGCCACTAGCTATCTATGGCTCCTGAGCACTTGATATGTGGCTCATTTGACTATTTTAAATCTCACTTAACTCTAAAAATTTAAATGTAAGTGTCCATGGGGAACTAGAGAATTCCTTAGCCTACAATACCTTTTTTTATGTTTTAAACTAATTCATCTTGCTAACTTTTTTCTTCGGTACCGGGGATCGAACTCGGGTCCTTACACTTGCATAGCAGACGGTGAAACCACTGAGCTAAATCCTCAGCCCTTGCTAACTTTTTTTGAAACTGTTCAACCAATCCCTTCTTGAATGGCCTTCCTGTCTGATTTTGATGTCCTTTATCCATGTTCCCACAGGCAATATATATATGTATATTATAACCTTATAACAGTGATTGAGGAACCCTACCTATTTTCTATACAATTAAAAGTCTCTTAATTTCAGGGACTTGGTCACTCTGTAATCAAGAGGGTAACCTTTTAAACTGCTTTTTTTTTTTTAAAGAGACTGTTTTGCCAACCTTCCTCATGCTGAAAAAGTAAACTGCCAACCCCCACCAACCCCCACCAGGCCCTAGGACTGGGCCTGATGTCAAGGAGGATTCAATATTTCTAGCCCTCTGGGCCAAAGCTTGGCTAAATTTATATATGGATATTTCCTTGCTTTTGTTCTGCCCCTTTTATAAATTAGAATGCTTCTGTACTTTTGTTATTTATAGAGCACACTAACTGCCCTCTCAAATTGGGCAAACTATAAATAAACTCATTTTTTTCATTTTCATGGGCTTTTCTCATGCCTTGAACTAAGAAATCCAGAGAGCTGGCCCAGATTCAGGCCTGACCCAGCCCTGCTAGGTAACAATCCCAATTATTAGCATAAATCAGAATTTCACCTCAAGTAGGCATTCCATAAATGTTATGAGATCAATAGATACTCAAGAGTTATCATTTAAATAGCATTTAATCTGTAGCTAGTATCATAACTAAAAGAGCTATTTGGGTTTTTGTTGTTGCTGTTGTGGGTATGACATTATTAGAAAAGAGCACACCTATAATCCCGGCACTCAAGGGGCTGAGGCAGGAGGATCACCATGAGTTCAAGGACGTAAATAGTGAGCCCAAGGCCAGCCTGAACTACAAAGAGAGACTCTGCCTCCAAAAAAATATAAAAATAAAAATAAAAGAGTATGTTACATTACGAGACTGTGTGTATCCATGAGGACATGGGAGTAGGCAAAGACTTCATGAAAAAAACCTAGACTACACAGGAAATACTAGAAAAAAATCAATAATTGGGACCACATCTTATTAAAAAGCTTTTGCACAGCAAAAGAAACCATCAGAGTGAAGAGATAACTCACAGCTTGGGAAAAAATTTTTACCAGCTATTCATCAGATAAAGGACCTAGAATATAAAAGGAACTCGAAAAAAATCTGAGCCCCTAAATTTAAAAACCCAATCCAAAAATGGGCATCTGAAATGAAAAGACACTTCTCAGATGAAGAATTAGAAACATCAAATAATGAAAAAATTGTTTAGCATCACGAGTCATTTGTGAAATGTAAATAAAAACAACCCTAAGATTCTATCTCACTCCAGAAAGAAAGGCTACTATCAAGAAATCAACCAATAACAAATACTGGAGGGGCTGTGGGGAAAAAGGAACCCTTTTCCACTGCTGGTGGGAGTGTAGACTGGTGCAACCACTGTGGAAATCAGTGTGGAGATTTCACAAAAACTAAAACTAAAACTAGTAGGTTCCATTTGACCCAGCTATTCCCCTTCTTGGTATCTTCCCGAAAGAACTGAAAGCATCATACCACAGCAATATATGCACACTCATGTTTACAGTGGCACAGTTTGTAATAGCTAAATCTTGGAAACAGCCCAAATGCCCATCAACTGACAAATGGATGAAGAGGATGTGGGTTTTTTTATACAATGGAGTACTACGCTGCCACAAAGAAGGATGAGCTTCAGACATTCATAGCTAAATGGATGCAGCCTGAGACCATACTCTTAAGTGAAATAAATCGGACACACATGTTTAAATACTGCATTGTTTCTCTGATGTGAGAAACCGAAAGTGGAAATAAGGTCTAAAATGTATACTAGATATTGGGAAATGGGAAGAAAATGTTCAAATGGGAGGGAAACAAAGGAGGAGAAAAAGAGAAAGGAAAGAACAAAAAAAAGTGAAAATAGATGGATAAAGGATTATGAAAAATTTAAAAAAGTAGACACTTAAATTATTGCTTTTTAGCACAAAAAAAGACTGTATCAACCCTCCATGAGTCTATGCTAATCTTTTTTTGGGCGGGGCGGGGGGTTACCGGGGATCAAACTTGTGACCTTGCGCTTGCGAGGCAGGCACCGGAACCACTGAGCTAAATCCCAGGCCCAGAGTCTATGCTAATCTTGGAAAGAAGATGGTTGATGAAATCCTCCTGGCTTTAGTAAATTAAGTATAATACCTTATATTAAGTATAAGGTCTATCAAACCATCCTATTTTCTAATCTCATTAACTAGAAATTATAAACATTACTGCTTTCTTTGTTGCCCTGCTTTTCTTTTTATTTTCACTTCAAGTAATAACTTTTAATAAAGGCCTCCTAAAAAAGTTTTCCCACAAAAGTTTTTAGCATTTAACCATGCCAACTGTCTCCCTCCAGACCCCTACTCCTGCTGGTACTCACATTTGCTCTCTCCCCCAATGTCTAGCTAGCTTCTATTTTGTTCTCACCTTGCAAGCCTCCCCTATTCAACAAAACCCCAACAGTCACCAGTCAAAGCCCATTTCCAGTTCAATATCACTCAGTACTGGCCTCTTATTCTCATCCCTCAGACACTCTAACACAACAAATTCCTTTATTCTTGCTCACCCACAAGGAAATTCTTGCCAGTTGTTTCTCTACTATACACTTTCCCTTTAGTATTATTCATCACACTATATCAAGTATATATTTCATGGTAATAGCTAAAATTTATTTAGTATGGGTAGGCCCTTTCCCCATATTACCACTACAAACCTGACAGCAAAGATCAACCAGGTTTAGTTCCAGATGAGAACATCCTGGCTCAGCTTTCTAACTGACCTACTCAAAGTTGTAAGTGAGCAAGCAGAAGGGCCAGGAGTGAGGCCAGTCTGCCTGGCTCCAAGTAATATTTATATCCTACACATGTCATATACTTATTCTACATTTCTTCCCAACAAGCTCCAAACCCAGTGTGGTTGTTTTTGTTTTGTTTCACAAATACTGCAGAATGACACAGGAAATTATACAAAGTTTTTTTTCCCTTCTTAATTTCTCAAATACACAAGAATGTAGCATATGTCTTACTAAAATATCTGCTTTTTCTATTTGTTTTGGGTTTGTAGGGTTGTACAAAAAGGGCTTTTGCCAGCTTTAAGGCTTCTCCATGGGCTATTAGTTTCCCTAGTAATTAACAGTTACCACTGCCTGAATATTTAGCACGGTCAGACACTGTAGTAAGGGTCCTTTATCCTTAAAGAACAGTAAGAAGGGGCTGGGGATTTAGTTGAGTGGTTTGGCCACCTGCTGCACAAGCGCAAGGACCCGAGTTCAATTCCCGGTACCAAAAAAAAAAAAGAACCCTACGAAGGTAAATAACATTCGCTTCACATACAAGAACAGGCTGAGATATTACGGCACTCATCCCAGTTAATATAGTCAGTAGGAGATATAAGTGTTCCCATGCCCAGTGCTCTTAAATGTGAGTTATCTCAACTGATGTACAACATCAGTTAAATATACAATTAAATATATGAGTTAAATATTTAGCAATATACAATTTCCTCCATATATGGCTCCTTCACCTACCTACCAGCAAAATTCCAGAAATTCAAGTCTGCCTGGCTAATCTAGAAAATACAATAGATGACATAACAGCCCTGGGGCCTTCAGCTGTAGAAAAGTCTCAAGGCCACAAGACTGCAATAGAGATTTGGGGGAAGGAGCAATCTACAATAATCAGAAATCCTCAGGATAGGGCCAGGGATTTAGCTCTGTGGTTCGGCAAGGTCCCAAGTTCAATCCCCCGTACCAAAAACAAGAAATCCTCAGGATAAGAAAGAAACATTTAAATTGGCCATTAAGGAAATGCCTTAAGAACTCCAGGAGAGGGGCTGGGGATTCAGCTCGGTGGTTTCGCCGCCTGCTGTGCAAGTGCAAGGACCTGAGTTCGATCCCTGGTACCAAAAAAAAAAAAAAGAACTTCAGGAGAAGAAACAGGGCCAGTAATCACAATTAAGGAAATCTAAGCGCAAAAAACCTGGTCCCAAGGTCACTGTACCACTGGAAGTGCTAATCCTGACATTTACAAAATCTAGGTAAAATATTTATTGCCTACCCACTTGTAATAGATACTGTCTGCAGGTATCATCACCAAAAACCCACAAAAAGGTGATATATTGTACACACTGTTCTAAGGAAAATGGCCCAGAGAGGTGACATTTTTTGTTGAAGCTACACGGCTGGGTAAGAGAAGAGGTCCAAACGTGGGTCAATTTGACCCAACTCTAATGATCTTTTTCCTAAACTTCAGTTGCATTAGTAAACACTATACATAAAAAGAACATCCACACTATAGCTAGCTCTATTTGTGAACAGATGCAATGGTACTGTAGGGACAGGGGGTCATAGTACTATGGATAGCAAAGTTAAGGTAAAAATATCATAGGCAGTCAGACAGGGATAAGCCTTCAAGGTAGTCAGTTCAGAGGATGAAAACATACTACAACTATGGCTAGAGGCACATCTGTTAAAGGCCAGGCCTCCTCAAGATAAAGATGGAAGTACCAGGCCTACATGCTTCCCCAAGGGATAAGCAATGTACTATAATTGGTATCACCTGGTCCAATAAAGCCTAGATAGACATCAGTCACCCCCCCCCCATGGGTGACCAAGACCCCCTAATCCATCCCCTCCTAAAGAAAGTCTTTGTTTTTTCCATGTACTCTTGCTACATGACCTGCTTCCCCACTGGATCAATATTACCTAAGTAGCTATACTTGTAATCTTATTGATTGATCATAGTTTCAACCCACGTTTTACCCACATGGTGATTTTACTTTATAAAACTTCCTCTGACAAGTGGGCTTGCTGCCAACCCACTTTCGAGTCCCCTCCTATCTCTCAAGAGCTACCTCTCTCAATAGTTTTCCTACTCTTAACCTCCACTGTTCCTTAAAATTCATTCTTTGATTTGGAGGAACAGGAACTCAGCCTATCTAGATAACATCTACCAGTTTGGGAGTTACACTTATTTCCCCTTATCAACAGGCAGAAAAAGGATAAAATAAGATCTCATTAAGCTTTATTAAGATCAATGGGAAAACCTTCTTAAAAGCAGTTTCTGCCTCTGAAACTAAAAGCAGTTTATGTCTTCATAGATAAGACTCTGCAGTTAGGGCAATTAATATGACAAAGGAAGGGCCTGGGATTTATTTAGCTTAGTGGCACAATGCCTGCATGGCAAGCATGAGGTCCTAAATTCAATCCCCAGTACCAGGAAAAAAAAAAAGAGAGAGAGGCTGGACTTTTGAAAGAGGTGTCAGGCAACACACACTTATTAACACTGAGGAAGCCAGAAACATAAAGACCAAGAAAGCCAGCTCCCCTCACCCACCTGACAAAAATGCAAGAGAGATAAGAGATTCCTAAGTACTCCTGTTTAATGTAACACACATCCCTATGCAAATACACATGTATATATATCCTCATTTTAACATAAATATAGTATTGGACCAGACACACAAATTCCCATGTCCCCTTTACTTAATCATTAAGTAAGCTGCCTTCCGTATAGGCCCTCCCACTTATTCATTACAAAGAGAAAGGAAGAAACCAAAGGAACAGAAGGAATGTAGGCAGACAAGCCTGGGTTAGGTCAGCTCAGATATCAACAAGTACCCACCTGGGGGATGGAAAGACATTAGACCCCAATAAAAGGACCCAGGGATAAGAGCTTGTGGGCTTTCAGTTCTGAAACCCCCTACCACTTTACAGTAGCTGTCTGTCCTCTTTCTTTTCCATCTTTTTTCCCCAAATAAACCACCTTTTGTTATACTGAACTTTGTCTTTTTTAAAGTTCTTTACTGGCACCAGGTTTAAAACTGGTGAGAGCAGTGGCATGGTGTGATATAGTGTGGCAAGCTACCCACCCCTGGATAAAACAGTACTAATTCTGAAATTACTTTTAATAAAACCAAAACTTACTGGTGGAGAGGCAAAACGACAAGGTGGAGAGCTGCCAGAGGAGCTTCCAGGAACAGAGCCAGCATATGTGGGCACCGGGACTGGGCAAGCTAGGGAAGAAACACAAAAAGCTGCACCACACTGTAGTGCATAACAAGACCTAATAAAACATCCTGTCAAACTACTACATCTCTGTGTTACAAAAATTTACATTCACCTACTTACTATACCTTCTATGGATGAAATTAAAAATACAGTACTTACTAAACCATTCCAACTTGAATATGGAAGAAAAAACTACTAAACATAATTATTGCTATCTAGGAAAAGCTCAACAAAATCTATTTTTTTTTTTTTGGTACCGGGGATCGAACTCGGGTCCTTGCACTTGTGTGGCAGGCGGCGAAACTACTGAGCCAAATCCCCGGCCCAACGAAATCTTGAGAAGCACAGTAAAAAATTATTTTGTGCTGGGAGTTGTGGAACATACCTATAATCCTAGCTACTCAAGAAGCTGAAGCAGAAGGGTCACAAATTCAAGGCCAGCCTGGGCAATTTTACAAAACTCTGTCCCAAAATTAAAAAGGGATGGAGATATAGCTCAGTGGTAGAGCACTTGCCTAACACATGTGAGGCCCTGGGTTCAGTCCTCAGTACAATGCCTCAAAAAATAATCATCTTGTAATACAAAATACTAATGTTTCCTTTAGCTTGCATCCACTCATTAAGTAAAAATACAAAAATGTATACTCACATTTCTTTACTGGAACTTGCTCGAGAAAAGGATGGCTAAAAAATGATTCTGTAATGAAAAATGAGAATGCACTCTTTAAACAATGACTGGCTGATAGTTACCAATGATAGCACAAAAGATGCAGGAAGGAATGGAACTACATTAGAGCCAAAAAGAAAAAAAGACATCAGTGACATGAATCCACATGAAGAAAAGAAGAGTACCACAAATGGTAAACAAGTAGCTTAAAACTACAGACTTTTTTCTTCTTTCTTCCCTTAATTTCTGTAAAAGATCCATAATTCAACTACTTCTTATAATCTCCATGGCTATTAGAGCCACCTAAACTACATTCTTCTCTCACTTGGGTAATCAATACTCTCCTGATCGGTTTCCCAGCTTCTGACTTTCCCTCACACACAGTCTATCCTCAAGAAGCAACCAGCCTGATCCTTAAAAAATATTAGATCAGTTTCCCTCTGTCTTATTTTTCTCTCTTGCTAAGACAAAATATCTGACACCCAAAGTTAAAAAGGGGGAAGGTTTATTTGGCTTACAGTTTGTAGAGGTTTCAGTGTAATTGGCTGACTCCAATGTAGGGTGGGAGAGGGGCAGCAGTTCATCAGTGGAAGACAGCAAAAGCAACAAGGGGAGGGGAGGGGCCCTCAATAGTGGCCCCTTTTATCTTATGCAAATACTAGGGCGGGTAGCACTCACACCCTCAATCCTAGTGCCCTTGAGCCTAGCATTGCACCACAATCAACTCCAGAAAAAGCTCCACCTATGACTGCATGAGGCTTTGGGGGGACATCAAGACACAAACCATAACATTCTGCCCCCAGCCCCTCAAAGTCTCATGCATATCCCTTTATGCAAAAAAGCTTTTAGTCAATCTCTAAGAATTCCCAAAGTCCTAACAGTTTCAGCATTGCTGAAAAGTCCAAGTCTAAAGTCTCCTATGAAATTTAAGGCAGGGCTGGGGATTACACTCAGTGGCACCACGCTTGCCTTGCAAACACAAGATCCTGAGTTTGACAGAGGGGTGGGGGGGATTTAAGGCAAACTTAGCTGCAAGCCCTTTTACAAATGAAAAGAAAGTTAAACACTTCCAACATTCAATGGCACAAGATAGGCTTTTGGGATAGCAAGGAATGGGAACAAAGGAAGACCAAAATCCAGCAGGGCAAACATTAAATCCCACAGTTCCACTTCCAGCATCCCAAGCAATCTGTGGCAAGTTGTGAACTCCAAAGGGCTTCAGTAGCGGCTCTACCCCTAATGCTAGTGGTTGTAGCTCCCATGGGTTTTTTCTTTGGCTGGCTTTGCTCACTCCTTGCAGCTTTCCTTGGACGATCCAAATTCCTGGCTTCTCCAACCTTCTGGTCTCCACAGCACATTCAGCCTCACACTCACAGCTTTACACACTGCCCTCTCAGGGGCACACTGCCTGGCCTCCCAGGCCTTCTTTTGAAATCTGGGTGGAAACCTTCCAGAACCCACAACTCTTGCATTCTGCTTGCATCTAAAACCAGCGCCATGTGGATGATACCAAGGTCTGCCACCAGCTGGAGCAGTAGACAGGCTTCCTTCTCTCTTGGCTGTAGGGGTCAAGTACTTGGATTGCTGAGCACTCTGAACCCAACAGAACAAATTCTCTAGGCCACTGCCATTCTGGAGCATGGTACTGCTGCCACCATTCTGGAACATGGTGCTCTGGGGCTCTTTTTTTGTTTTGTTTTGTTTTTTTGAGACAGGGTCTCACTATGTAGCTCAGGCTGGCCTTGAACTCACTATGTAGTCCAGGCTAGCTTCAAACTTGTGGCAATCCTCCTGCCTCAGCCTCCGGATCTGGGACTCTTCTCAAAGCAAATTCTTTCTCACCCTAGTAACTCTGAGGCTGCAAAGGGTGGAGTCCAGCTGCTTCCTGTGATGCCCTCTGGCCATCATTTCTATTCCATTCCTTCGCAGCAATCTCAGCTGTTTTGCAGGCTGCAACTTTGATGGAACTTCCTTTCAAATCATTCTGCTGGCCTCTTTCCTCTTAATTCTCAACATAAATCTGGCTAAAAGCCCCCAACAGTAACCATGACATCACCTCAACATTGTATTGCCTTGAAATTTCTTCTACCAGATTAATTAGTCCACTGGTCTTAGTCTCAGTCTCAGGCAAAGTCTCTGGACATGAGCAAAATGCAGATACACTTTCTGCCAAGGCACAACATATATCAGCTAGAGTCCAGCAGCCAATGTAGTCCTTCTTCCCAGCAGAAACCTCCTGAGCCTGGTCTTTACCGGCTTTCTGGTCTTCTGAGCTCTGACCAGAATCTCCCATGCAGTACAGCCTAAGACATTCCAGCTCTACTTTTTCAGCCCCCATCTCCAAATCTTTCCTAACTCTTTCCCTTCCTACAAGCCAGTTCCAAAGACTCTTGAGCCATAAGGCCAGATAATTTCACATCAACGACCCCACTTCTCTGCTACCAGATTCTATCTTACTTTTCTCTCGTTGCTGAGGCAAAATACCCAACACCCAAAGGTAAAAGGGGGAAATGTTTATTTGGCTTACAGTTGGTGCAAGCTTCAGTCCATAATCGGCTGGCTCCAAGGCATCAGAAGACAGCAAAAGCAAGCAACAAGGGAAGGGAAAGGAGTCTTTCTGTCCCTTTTTTAATGCAGATTACTTAGGGCGGGTAGCACTCACACCCTCAATCTTAGAGCCCTTGAGCCTAGCACTGCAGGATAAATCAATTCCAGAAAAAGCTCCACCTATGACTGCATGGCATGAGGCTCAAGGGAGGATATCAAGACAGAAACCATAAACAACATCCTCTGCTTAAAACCCTCCAACACCTCCCTTTACACTTTTAGGAAAAGCCTGTCCTTTTTTTTTTTTTTTTGGTTCTTTGAGACAGTGTCTCACTAGGTAGTATATGCTGGCCCCAAACTCACTACATAGTCCAGGCTGGCCTCAAACTCACAGCTATCCTCCTGCCTCAGCCTCAGAAGTGCTGGGATTACAGGTGTGCACCACCACACCCACCTTAGGAAAAGCCTGTTTTTAATGGGCCTTCTAGCTATTCCTCAAGCTTCTGAACATGCTGCCAGCTCTATACCTTTGTACTGGCTATTCACTCTGCCCAAAAAGCTCTTCCCACAGATACTCATGTGGCTCACCATCATTTCAAATGCCACTTCTCAGTTAGGTTTTTGTTGACTACCTCAATTTCCACCCAATTTTCTCTTCCTTCTTTAAATTTTCCCACAGTACCCAGCATCTTCTAAAACAATATACAATTATACTTTATAATCTGTTTATTAGAGTTTACACTCGATATTTATAAAAAAAGTGAAAGAAAATAAAAAGAAAAGTATAATTGATTTTAATTTTTATCTGAGATCTGTACAGCATCTTTTTAGAATACATAAAAGTAAAATTAAAAAGCGTGCAAAATTTGAAACAATTATTTACCAAAGTCCATTCTATCTTTTTGGTTCCTCTGAAGCAATCCCAACAGGAGATTAGCCAAATAAGGTGATGTTTCTCTGGGAATACTGGGGAAAAGGAAAAAAAAAAATCTAAGTGGTAAGTTTATATATAGTAGTTACATTACTTTTCCCTTCATTATGGTAAATAAAAATGTATATGCAGTTTCATAAATACTACATCTATAAAAATACCATGCTGAAACCTTATACCTTCAGGTTGGGGAAAAAAATAAAGCCTTACAATAGATTTTGAGAAATAGCAACAGTTTGAGAAGATTCCTGTATTGTGCTGTCTAGTATCTGTAAGAATAAAGTACTTCTTAAGCATAGACATCTTGAAGTTTTTATCATCGTTTTTGTATTTTGTTTTATTGTGGTACTAGAGATCTGAACCCAGAGTCTTCACACTGAGCCACATCCCCAGCTGCCATAGGCCAAGTCTGAAGACGGCCCTTTTTCCTCCATAGATTAGAGACTCAGACAGTCTGTTTGACTCATACTGTAGACCCTGGATGGCACAGCCCCAGGAGACAGTTACATTGTGTATCCTTTTCTGTTCCCTTCCTGCGCGTGCCCCTTCATGAAACAATCACATTATGTTCCGCCTGGGGCCATGTAGGCCACATCTTACTATTTCCCCCATCTTCTCTTCCTGTTTGCCTCTCACTATAAATAAAGAGTGTGTGGTGTTCCAGGCGGCTATAAGCTCCCGACAACCTATGGTTCCACCTGGTTCCACCTGGTCCCAGCTATCAAGAGTAATCTTGGTCTCCTTTTCTTTTCTTCATCTCCCACCACTCTCCTGGGCTTCAGACCCTACACTGTGCAGGTCACGGCACCCAGCCTTTTATTTTTCATTTGAGAAAGGGTCTTGTCAAGTTGCTAAGTTGCCCTGGCTGGGATCAAACCTGCTATCCACCTGTATCAGCCTGTCAGTGTGCTGGGATTGCAGCCATACACTTTTTTCTCTTTCTTTTCTTTGTGGGTGTGTATAGCTCAAGCTGGACGTGAACTCATGATCCTTCTGCCTCAGTCTCCCAAGTATGGGATTACAGGTGTGTGCCACCACATTCAACTTGAGTTTTAACACAATCTGTACTAACAGTTGCTATAATGTTCTCTATTAGAAACAGACCCACCTCTAGTTCTGTCTGGAAAAAGGCAGAGCTTAAATAAATACAAGTGAGAAATAATACAATTTCTTAAACTCAATATGAAAATGACAAAGCCACTGAAAAATAGGAATATACAAGTCACAGAATAAAACTACGAAAAGGATATTAAGGCAAACAGAAAAAGAGAAAATTAACTAATAAAGAGAATAATGCAAATTAAGAACTGGTCCTTCTCCATGTGTGAAACATTAAATCTGATAGATTTAACATTGTTAAAAATGTGAAGAAGGGAGCATTTTCTCACAGAGCTGTATTAAGATGGTCAAGTTAGAAAGCACACCTTTCAGTTCAACAATTTCACTTCTAGGAGTCCATCGTAAATGCACAAAGGTAGGCAAACACACATGCACACACACCCTCTCTTACTTCACGAAACCTGTTTGTAGTAACCATAAACTGGAAATAACAAATCTGATTACATAAAATATGGGACATCTAACTACAGAACTCTATGTAGCCATGCAAAAGGCAGCAGTAGCAGTAGTTCTCTAGATACCGTCCCTGAACATCTAAGAAACACTACAGAGAAGAAAACAAATTGCAGAACAATTCACAAAAACATAATGTAATTAATCTGAAATTATGTATACATATAAAAATATTACAGTGTGTCTTCATCCACCTATTCACCGGATCTAATACCAAGCAACTTCTGGCTCTTCCCCAAAATCAAAATGGCCATGATAAATAAATGTTTTGAATCAATTTAAGACACCAAGGCAGCCAACAGTGCAACTAAAGACATTCACAGAAGATTTTTAGTGCTGCTTCAGCATGATGCAAGAACAATGGCATATGTGTGTTTGAAGCAAACAGAGAATGGGGGAGGGTAATGGCAATGTGTCTTTTATTGTAATAAGTATTTTTATTTAAACACACACTGTATTTTTCAATCACATCTGGTACACATAAACGAGCACTAAAATATGTGTAAAAAATTCCTGCAAAAATATTTGGAAAGATACACAGCAAACTCTTTATCCCTACAAAGCAGAGCAAAGCCTAGACAGGAATTTACATTCTGCTTTATACATATCTATTCTGTTTTCCTCCCAACAAGGAACATATATAACTTCTGTAATTTTTTTCTCTTAAATATACCTAATTTTATTTGTTTTGTTTTTTTTGGTACCAGGGATCGAACTTGGGTCCCTGCGCTTGCGCAGCAGGTGGCGAAACCACTGAGCTAAATCCCCTGCCCAATGTACCTAATTTTAAAAAAATGTATAGCACTAATGAAGTAATTTTCTAAATTTCCTATTTTAGAAATATTCTAATTGTGTTAACTTTTTCACTTCCTATTATTACTGGTAACTAAAAAAGACTTAGGAAAAGAAACACATAAAACACAAAATTCAAATAACACTGTGTTCACATATAGTAAAACCCAGTGTACTCTAAACACGTACCTAGGGATTAAGCTCCTGTTTTTTTCATAAAACATCCGTAAGTCTTGAGGACTACTGGCCTGTTTAAAAAAAAAAAAAGTTTAATGTCCTAAGCAAAGGAGGACAGAACTTACAAGTCATATGATTAATACTCATATTCTTGATATAGAACATAAGCTATGTATTACTAAAGGAGCAATAGTTGAGCATTAGGAACCTATAAACCTTGAAATAATGCAGAAATCCTGCATATCTAGGTTCAATGTACTTTTTCTGAGGTCAGACTCTCAAAAGAGCCTGAATGAGAAAAAGCAAAGACCTTCTATTGAAGAGGTTACATGGCCTACCAACAGGTTCCATATTGCTGTGTAAAAAATGGGTGTATTTTACCTTAGGACCTTCAAGGGGTCCAAGGAAAAGAATTAAGTATACTGCCATTATAAAGTATCTCCACAGCCACAAATAGGACACTTATGATAACAGCTGCTTCATCAGTAAAAATGCCTCTACACATAGACTAGATTAGGAAATTAAAAGTGATTAGCCTGGGTGTGTCAATGACTTCTTTTTATATCATCTTGAGTAAATAACTTCACTTTGTTGCAGTTTTCAGATTCAAACATCTTTGTAACTAAGAGATTATAACATGGCCATATGAACTCAAGAGAAGTCATCACACTACAGTATATGTACACTGCAGGACCACCGCTTGACAGGATATCAGGAGACGAAGAGAAGAAAAAATTCCAAATAACTTTCATAAAGCCTGTGCATTTATCTCCTCCTCACCAGTAAGTACTAGGAACAGAATCAGAGACAGTTTCTAGTGTTCTCCCACACCAGCTCCACCCCTTATAAGCAGATTTAAGGACCCCAAACCAGACTAAGCAGGAAGCACTTTTGTCACCACTCACACCCACTTCCCACCGGCACCCTTGACCAGTTTTCACTGGCCAGGAAAATATCCATCAGCCTTCATGCCCAGTCATGCCCAGTCCAACCAGAAAGGATAAAAGGGGAAAAGCAAAAGATACAAAGGTGTTCTGGCTCACCACTGCAGTTTTTACCTGTAACAGAATCAACATAAGTTACAAAGGAGCCAAAAATACTACTTTCAAGGCATTCTTCATTTTATAAGTCAAAGACAACAACTACAAAGAGAGGAGATCTCAAAACTGAGGATGTGAGAAAAGAATCAAGCTACCTGAAAAGGTGGTTTTCCAACTAGGCATTGATATATCACTGTTCCTATGCTCCACAAGTCTGCCTTACCATCATAATGTTGAGACATAATAACCTCAGGTGCCTGGGAATAAAAAATTTCAAGAGACATGTATTATTTTAGCTATATAATTAATATGCGTATATTAATTAACAGGCAATGGTCACATACTAAAAAAATTAACAGTGTAATATATCTCTAATCAAATGATATTACAATGAACTTAGAACGAATTATTATATTGAGATATACTAGTAAATCTCAAAAATAATGTTTCATGAAAAGGAAAAATAAATGTTTCTACGTATTATGACGGATACAAAGTATAGCAAGAGTATTAAACAATAAAGAAAAATAACACCAATTACAGAATTGAGGTCCCCTGAGGGCTATGAGAGGTGGCGGGTAAGTAACTGGTAATGAGATTGGGGAGAGACAACAGGGACTTGGGCAGTATGAAATATTTTATTTCTTTCTACTTAAAAAAAAGGCCAAGGGACACATAGGAAAATGTTAACTTTGTTAAAAAAGTATACTAAGTACACAGATCTTTGCTACATTATCTATTTTTCTGTCATTTGAAAACTTTTATAATAGAAAACCTATGGTGGAAAACCATAATAAAAACTGTCCTCAAAGTAAAGAAAGGCATTTCTCTGCTGCTGTTACAGGTATTTTCCTACCTTTCACCAAAAACTGCTTTTCACAAATACCAACAATCAGGACAGATATTAAATCAGAATCTCAATTATATTTAAAGAATGAGAAACTATTTTCCAGGCATAACAGTTTAATTTATTGTCTCCCCAAATTTTTTAAATTTAGTTGAGATTCTTTAATAATTAGTTAAAAGCACTCTAGTTCAAGACTGAACTAACTGGACACTAAAGAAGTACAAAGCATGGGTAGGCATGGTGACTTCACACCTATAATCCCAGCAAGCATGAGGCAAGAGTCTGGCCAGCCTGAACTACATAGTGAGACCCTATCTCAAAGAACAACAAGAATGCCAGGCATAGTAGCATGCTGGTAATCCCAGCACTCAGGAGGCTGAGGCAGGAGGATCACCATGAGCTCAAGGCCAGTTGGGCTACATAGTAAGCTTGAGGGCAGCCTGAACTACATAGCCAGACCCTGTCTCAAAAAACAAACAGTACAAAGCAATTTTTAAATCTTACTAAAATATAACATTTATTATATATAAACAGTAAAATTATGATTAAGAAAGTTAATCTGATGCAAAATAATTTTTTAGTCGGGTGTGGTGGTGCACACCTGTAATCCCAGCATTTAGGAGGCTGAGGCAGGAGGATCACTGTGAGTTCAAGGCCAGCCTGGGGGAGACACTGTTTCAGAAACAAAATTTTTTTTGACCTTTTATGACTAATTTCTTCGATCTCAAAATTGATTTTAGGGCCAGGGATTTAGCTCAGTGGTTTCGCCGCCTGCTTCGCAAGCGCAAGGACCCAAGTTCAATCCTCGGTACCAAAAAAAAAAAAAAAAAAAAGAACTGATTTCAGAGAAATTTCTTTTCCCATTTTTGGTACTTACACATACTAAACATGCACTCTTATCAATATACTCCTAACCTGATTGGAGGAATTTGTAATTGATCATACACCCATCATAAACTTACAACTGAAATAGCTATATTTATTTACTTCACATAATTCGGAAGCTCTAGAATGGAGGTATTTGTAGGCTTACTACTTCACATTAGTTCACAGCCTAGTCCTAACAGACATGACAATATCTACATAAAAGGATAAGATTTTCAGCATTAAGTGTGAGGCTGAAGGAAAAAACTACAACATAAGAGACCTTGTCAAGACAGACAACATTTAAAAGATGAGGCCAGGTGGGCCGGGGATTTAGCTCAGTGGTTCCACCACCTTGCCTCACAAGCGCAAGGACCCGAGTTCTATCCCTGGTACCAAAAAAAAAAAAGATGAGGCCAGTTATGGTGGCCTGTAATTCTAGCACTCGGGAGGTTGAGGCAGGAGGATTGCTGGAGATTGAGGCCAGGCTGGGCTACACAGTGAGTTTAAGGACAATCTGTACTACAAAGCAAGACTTTGCCTCAAAATAAATAAATAAATAAATTTTTTATAAATAAATAAAAGATGAGCATATCCTCTTATACTGGAAGAGGTGATCCAAAAAGATATTTTTTAGGTATCCCTAAGTAATGCACATCAAATATAATATGACTATACTTCATGAACTTTTATTTTCAATTTAATCTAAAGAGATTTTTATCATACTAATTAATCTTTTTAAAACATAGGGGCCGGGGATTTGGCTCAGTGGTTTCGCTGCCTGTTGTGCAAGCACAAGGACCTGAGTTCGATCCCCGGTACCAAAAAACAATCATTAATTTAATTTAATAAAAAATAAAACCAAGTGGGGTCGGGCATTTAGCTCAGTGGTGCTGCTGCCTATCTCACAAGCACAAGGTCCTGAGTTCGATCTCCGATACCAAAATAAATGAATAAATAAAATAAAAGCAAGTGGGGACCAGTGGCACAGGTCTGTAATCCCAGCTTCTAAGGAGGTTGAGATAGGAAGGTCACAAGTTCAAGGACAGCTTGTACAACTTGGTGAGACCCTGTCTCAAAATGAAAATCAAGAAAAGGGCCATGGGCCAGGGACATAGCTCAGTGGCAGTGTGCCTACTTGGCAATCGTGCGGCTCTGAGTTTGATTTCAGGTACCGGAAAAAAAAAAGAAAAGGGCTGAGGATGCAGCTCAGAGTAAAGTACTTGCCTAGCATGTGTGAGGCTCTGAGTTCAGTCCCAGTCCCACAAAAATGAATGAAAGAAAGAAGAAAGATTGATTGATTTGCTTTTATACTCCCCTATGCTAAAGCAAAAGATATCTGTTACTATAGCACTACTGGTAATAAAACTGCTATCAGTAATATAAATAACAATTCAGACTATATATAAAAATCCTGTCTTCCTTGGAAACAAGCATTATACTTAGATTCCAATTCTGATGGTGCTGTGCTTTAAACACACAAGGATGCAAACTCTCACTCACCATGTACATCGGGGATCCACACAGTGTTGCAGCCATCATGTTACTATGTAAGTAACGAGCAAAGCCAAAATCCGCTATTTCACAAAATAAAACAGAAAAACAAATGATACCTATGCTCACAGTGCAGATCATATGACTCTTTACAAGATGAGAAGCCACAAAAGAATTGTGAAAAACAAAGAGCTTACTAATATGACTGCCCACCAAAGAAAAACAAAAATAGCTATCTCAATTTCAATAGCGAAAAAAACATAGTAGTGATAACAACAGTACAGGCCACTACAAGTTTTTTAACAAAGGAGCACCAATTTCTATAAGTGATCCATTAAAAGCTCTCAAAAAGGGCCAGGGATTTAGCTCAGTGGTTTCACCGCCTGCTGCACAAGCACAAGGACCCAAGTTCGATCCCCAGTACCAAAAAAAAAAAGCTCTCAAAAAAAAGTCAATACCAGATATTGAATAAAAACTGTTTTTTCTTACTAATTGCTTCAAATACTTTTGAAATACAGAGCACTAAAACACTGCCAGAGTCTAAACTAGATGATTTCTCAGATCCCTATATAAAAATCTTGTGATCGGGGTCATTAATTTGCTGTCAATAACCATACTATATCAGCTTTCCTCTCCAAAGAAGCAGGATTTGTTAGAGATCCATATTTATAGTTTAGCCTTGTCCTAGATTTAGCATATGCTCCCAATAAGTTAAAGGATTTAACAATATCTAAACTGACCTCAGTGCACTCCATAAAAATTTCAAAACTGTTATCAATAAAATCTACCATTCTAACAAAACTGAACTAAAATTATCTATAAATACTGAGTCTCAAAAATGTCTTTCCATGAAACAAGATAAGGCTGTTTACCTATTTTGATCCGAATACCAGTGATACTTGACTTTCTCCGATTGGCATAAGACAACAAAATGTTCTGTGGTTTGAGATCCCTGTGGATTATTCCTTTGCTGTGCAGGATTCGCATGGCAGCTGCAATCTGATGCAGAAACACTCTGATAGTATCTTCACTGAGAGTTCCTTTAGCTGATAGAAAAGAAGTCACAAAAATATTTAAGCACACAAAATCAAATACCATTTGTATAGTCCACCAATAGAATTGGTTGTGAAGGCAGGCATGAAAGGAATAAGGAAATGGGATTCATATTTATTCCTTTTTTTACTTTAATAATTGAAGTCAATGAAGAGACATCTGAAAAAAGTTACCAACCTATTATAAAGAAAATTGACTTGCATTTGTATTTTTGATTCACTAATGTTCTTTGCTTTTCCCTTTCCATTTTTACTTCTGAAAGTGCCCGTACCACTCTGAACAGGTGTACAGCAAATGTGAATCTCTTACAAAACAAAAGAAGTTCCCCTTCATGTTAATCAAATACTGTACATGTGATAAAGGTTCATATTTAACCTAATCATTACATGAGTACAAATTAAAAACAAGGTGAAATCCTTATGTGGAATCTACTGCCTCTTGTACCTGTCAGGAATCTGTACTCCACATTATCTCCTTCCTTTTGTCTCCTTTGCTTCCAACACCACTGTCCTACACAGGATCTTTCCTAACTAAAGATACCTTTAAGAAGAGATATCTTGGGCTGGGGATTTAGCTCAGTGGTTCCGCCCCTGCCTTGCAAGAGCAAGGTCCCAAGTTTGATCTCCAGTACCAAAAAAAAGAGAAGAGATATCTTCACTACTATAAGGAGGTAATGTGTACATTATTAGAATGTAGTCACTATTCTTGAGGCAGTTAATGGCTAATATCCTGGCATGGCAGAGCTGCTTTTGTTCAAATCCCAGCTCTCTTCTCCCCTACATAACCCTGGAAGATAATCCCTCTTGGGCATAACACTGACTACATGAGGTTGTTATGACAATTAAACAAGATAACATGCCTAATAATGAAGACTTCAAACAAGTGTCTAGCACATAATACACACTCAAATGTAGTTAACTATAAAAATATAAACTTTCTACTAAAACAGATCTAAATGTCACAACTGCAATTTCTTAAATCTACATTAAAGATTAATATCCTTGAACCTGGGCCAGGGATTTAGCTCAGTGGTTTCGTCGCCTGCTGCATAAGCACGAGGACCCAAGTTCGATCCCCGATAACAACAACAACAAAAAAATCCTTGAACCTATTTAAATCCTTTGTGAACACATTTCTGTCCATATAATTCTCAGAATATGTTCTATATAACCCTTCCATCTTAAGAAAGGTAAAAATAACATCAATACTTAGAACAAGTGAAATGTTATGATTTTTAAATCATCTTAATGACATGCCAAGCGACATTTCATGGTTTTAAAATCACTTTAACCAGGCATGGTGGGACACACTGCAATCCCAGCACACAGGAGGATATGGCAGGAGGAACCCAAAAAGTGTGAGGGCAGCCTGGGCCACACAGTGAGTCCAAGGCCCTGAACTATATAGTGAGACCCCATCTTTTTTTTTTTTTTTTTTGGT